CTCTCTCTCTCTCTCTCTCTCTCTCTCTCTCTCTCTCTCTCTCTCTCACTCACGCACCCACACCCACCCCAGTAGCTCTTACAATAGAAACAGGAAGTTGAGCTACTGTACACAAGAGGAAATAGATCCATCACTTATTAATACCCATCGCCCTGCCAACAATTTCCTATTCTACAACACACATTTAAAACACTGCAATTGTCCCTGTGTGTGCAACCCACCTTAACCCAAGTTTAACAAAAACACACACAGCATTTCTCACATCCCAGGTCTTTATAGAGCACTCAGGCACACCCCTGCAGAAATCACAACAGCCTGACCAACAGCGTATATAATCACCGACATGTTGTGCTTCTTACACGCGTTATTACACTGTAATAAACGCATTGCGTCCGATTATCCTCTATGCAGAGACCCAAAGTCAAAACGTCCATTCAAAGACCTGACGATGTAATAAACCTGCACATAGTATAAAGCACACCTTTAAAGCCCTTTTCCACCTCGATGGTTCTGTTGACAGCTCATTTACTTTTAAATATATTTAGGCTTATAGCACACAAGGCTCATTGCTGTCCATCTGGTAAAGATTAAGCAACAGCAATAGTAAAGATGGACGAATGTGGACTGATCAAATGATTGCAATGGACTACAGGTCAGCTGCGAGTAACGTTAAAGTTGGATATTTAAAGTTTGTTATAAAAAGCCCACGTCTCTGTTCACATACAAGGCAACTTTGAAATTGGTGATTTATTTTCGAGATGAGTTTGGTATCCACATAGGCACGGATACGCTAACCTGTTAGCGGCTTATGAATTATGTTTAACTTACCTATGACTATTCTGAGATGCTTCAGCCTCGTCAACACGTCCTTCTTTGGGTCCAACACTTTCTGTGTTGATTTTTTAACGTCCCCATGAGGCTTTTTAGAGAACATTCCTGGGGCTGGAGACACAGGAATGCGAGGGTAGACAGCAAGGAGGTGCTAGCTGGGTAGCGACTTGAACAGCCTTAGCTAGCGTTAATCTTCAAAGTATAACGAAAAAGCGCTGCTCCTAGATCATTTATTTAACGCCGTGCGGCAAATTAGCAGCCCTCCGCAACAGCGCGGAGCTCATCAATGCGTAAATGTTGTCGTCGCATTCTGTTTAAACTAAGACAAATCGGTAAAACGTAGCGGGGCAAAAGCATCCATCCATTGCAGCCGAATGCACCTCCCTTCCACAACAGTCCGCAGCCTGAAGGCTACACTAGCTAGTTAGTTAGCTCCGCTGTTCACTTAGAAAACATCATGGCGGAGGAGGGAGGAGGCAAAACAAAATAATAGATACCAGAAAAATCCAACGTCAACATGGTTCAACAATAAGCAAACTCTGCTTGTATCATATACAAATGTAACAAAATTGCAATATATTTCTGACTCCAACTGCGTTTCCTATTTTACTGGCGCTGACGTTTAAATCGCATTTCGACAGTTGTGATCGAACGCTCAACCTCGTTCAAGTTACAGTGCTGGTGGGTAATGTAGTTTACAGTTGGTTGTTAATCCTTCAGTGACGAGAAGACTGGTGATACATAAAACTACAACTCCCTATTCAAATAAAAGCGCCCTTCTAAAATTTGTTTTTAGCTTAGCTGGGACACACGAGTGGAATTGTAACCGAGGGAAAAAAATAAGTTTAGGCTTCTTTTTCTTTTCTTGAAACAATATCGCAAACGCCTTGCACCTCCCCATCTCGTGAGTTATGGTTTAGTTTCACGCTTCTTCATTAATATATTTTTGTGACAAGTCGTGCTAATCTTACTTGCTAACTAACGCTAACTATACTGCATAGCTAACATGCTAACTTGATGTGTTGTCGTTTGTTATTGTTTATTTGTCTTGTGCAGTGATTAAAAAGGCAAAACACATCGATGTTGCTTGATTAACATTTCATATCTAATCTCAAGCAATAACGTTTTAATAAAGCCAGCTACCAAGAGGGGTTTACCACATTATTTCAAATATGATTTACCAAAATGAGCCACCATTAAAAATAAAGATTCATGAAGAAATTAAAATGTATAAAACATGGTTAAGTTGCAATAGATTTTCGGTGGCTTCCCCGCATCACTGACTGCATTTCGTAAACAGCAATGGGGATAACTATAACACCGTTTCACTGTTGTTTGGTTAAATCTTTGCACTATTGTTTCGTTAGTTAATTTAATATTCTATTTTATTGTATATATTGTGCATTTTTATATTTCATATTTTTTTTTCTCTGCTATTTTGTATTGCTTTACCTATACCTATTAATGCTGCTGGAGCGAAAAAATGTCCCCTTGTGGGATTAATAAAGTAACCATCTATCATATCTGTAAGATATTACACAAATGGATGAAAAAACAGAAATTTGGAAATATTTCTGGAATCAGCTGCTCTGGGGAAAGACACTTTATCTATGTGTTCAGCAAGTCTATAATTATTAATAATCACTTTGAACCACCAAGTCATGTCAGTTGTCATACCTAAAAACTAAACGAATGCAATCAATATGTTATATCTGTTTGTCTGTAAAAAGAGCCTGACATTGTCTCTCTCTCTCCCACACCACCAGTCTGGAGCTGACTCGCTGCCATGCCAGTGCACCGTGACCGGGAGAAGAAGGAGAGCACAGCGGAGGAGATGGAGGTGGAGGAGCAGGAGCAAGAGGCGTCCAGCTCAGAGGAGGAGGATTCTGACACCTCCTCTGTCTCCGAGGATGGAGACAGCTCTGGTAAAAAAAAAAATAGTCAAACAGTAGAAAATGAGCATAACATTCGTATTCTAAGGATTTCCCATTAAAAGTAACATTATTTCAGTTTATGATTCTGACTTAAAGTAGTTCCTGTCAAAGGTTCGACTTGACATCCCGCACGCTATGAGTTGTCCATCCTTGAGACACTGCTTGTCTGCAAATCTTTTATGGCTGGCAGACGCATAACCTATCAGAAATATGTCTTCCCCCATCCCGATTCATAACTTCATAATGATTAATCTAGAGGGGTTTGTGTGCTTTATCATTTTCCAGAAATGGACGAGGAGGACTGTGAGCGGAGGAGGACGGAGTGTCTTGATGAAATGTCCAACCTGGAGAAACAGTTCACGGATCTCAAAGACCAGTGAGACAGAAATCGATTCATCTCATGACTTTAAAATTTAGAAGCGTGAAATGTAAAGAAAAAAATTAAATAAATCATTGACAGGATCTTGTAGTTACACCCGTGTTTGTGCACAGGTTGTATCATGAGCGTCTCAGCCAGGTGAAGAGCAAGCTGGGAGAGGTGGAGGCCGGCCGGGCGGCGGAATACCTGGAGCCTCTGGCCGTGCTGCTGGAGAACATGCAGGTCCGCACCAAGGTGGCAGGTAAACCTGGACACACGGACGCACTCGGCATGACTCGCACACTCCGGCGTCCTTTATTCACTCTTGTTGTTCCCTCTGCTTTCATCAGGCATCTACAGAGAGCTTTGTCTGGAGTCTGTGAAGAACAAGTATGAGTGTGAGATCCAGGCAGCGTGCCAGCACTGGGAGGTCAGACACACACTTTAATTACCTTCTGTCTTACTAAAGTATTAAAAGTATTGCTGAGGAGATGCGTTTTCTTTTAAGTCCTCGGCTCTAAGAATCATTAAATATTCTGATTTCGATTTGAATTTGAGTGAATGTTTTTGATCTGTGTCATTGGTGGTTGTGTGTAAGTATTTGGATGTATGCTTGTGTGTTGGACAGTTTTTTTGCTAATATTATGTCTATGCTTTTGTGTGTGTGTGTGTGTGTGTGTGTGTGTGTTTGTGTGTTTGTGTGTGCGCGCGCAGAGCGAGAAGCTGCTGCTGTTTGACACGGTACAGAGTGAACTGGAGGAGAAAATTAGAAGGCTGGAGGAAGACCGACACAGCATAGATATTACATCAGGTGACGCACACGCAGAGCACAGTCGTGTGATGTCATGCACATGCAACCTAAATACATTTGAACTACAGTAGCAAGAACACACTAGACGCATCCAGCACTGTGTGTTATATTGAATCCGTCCGTGTCTCTCTTATCAGAGTTGTGGAATGACGAGTTATCGGGACGGAAGAAGAGGAGAGATGCTTTAAGTCCGGATAAGAAGAGGAGACGACCTTCAGTGGTGTCTGATATCCTTCTGCTGTTCATATCTCTGTCACTGTCCACACTACTGAGCATTCACGCTGCTTCTATAAATCACCAAATATTGGTATCTAGATGTGTCCTTGTATTCATCTGCCCGTGGCGCCGTCCTTAACTCCGCTCACGCCCGTATATCGTTTACATGCTGCCCGACCTGGACGTCCTGGAGGACTGGACGGCTATCAGAAAGGTGTGCAAAATGCGGTGACTTTGTCCCACAGTGGCATTGCTGTGTGTGTTATTTAACAATAATAATGATGTGTGTGTGTGTGTGTGTGTGCGCGCGTGTGTGCGTGTGTGTCGTCTTCCAGGCCGTGGCTTCGCTGGGTCCCCACAGAGGGAAGGCCGACTCTGACAGCCCCGTGTTCCCATTCAGACAAGACAGAAGCAGGCCCATTCTCAACTGCTGAGGAACACACACACACACAGTCACACATTACAGAGCACACTCAAAACACACGAGGACCGCAAACAGAAGCACAATAAATACAAACGCATACAGCACACACACACACACGCACACGGCAGCATTCACTTTCTGCAAGCTGGACTTTTTCTCCGAGTCGTTACTACAAACCCTTCCGCTAACAGCGACGCCAGTCGGTAAGCTGCCTCTTCGTGCTGACACACAATAAGGACTCGCAGGTTTGAATCCCTTTAGCGGACAGCAGGAGCATCGTTTCCACTGACATGGTAGTTGCCAGTACTTTTGTTCAAAAGAGTTAAACCTGTTTAAAGACTGATGTCTGCTGAAGCCACTGAAAGGCATTCTGGTAGTCATTGCATTTCATTTCATTGTGAGAATTTCTTTGAGGAGTTATGGCATGCTCCAGATTTGTAGATGTATCACTGGACAGTGAACTAAATCAGAATTAGACTGTTTTTCTTTTTCACGTTTTGGATTGAAATGTTTGAAGTCATCGCCTCCCAGAATGTGGTATTTGGTGAGAGGGCCATTGTCTTCACACATTGAGGCACAGTGTTGTCTGAACTCCGTTTATTTGGATAAATTGAGTGGGAATGCGACCGAAATCTGTCTTTGTGTTTGGCTTTGATTGCAGCAGTGTCAGCAGACTTTCCAGCTGAACGTAGTCAACACCCAAAGTACACCGTCGCCTAGATTTGACAAACGACGTCATTTGACTGCTTGTGTTTCTTTTGTGTGTATTTTACAGACGCGGTCCAGGAGATTTTTAATCTTAAATCCAGATTGTTATTGACGAAGCTTCCGTTGACATATATATATATATATATATATATATATATATATATATATGAACCTTGTGACTGTGCCATGAAATATTTAACATTTTTGTACTTTTCAGTGTTTCACGTGGATCCGTTTAAATGTCGTGTAGGCCTATGAGACTAATAATGACTTTTTTTTAACGTTCTGGTGTTTTGAATAGTTAGGTGGCGATCATGCGCAAGTCGTTTCAGAGAGCACCCAGCACTGCCCGCCTTAGTTAAATGAGTTGTTGCGACTTGTTTTTTTGCTGTGTCTTGCATCTTTTAACAGCTACGGTGTGGTTGCAGTAACTCTGTGATGGCAGCAATGAAAATGTGTGTGCGGTCGTGACCACGACAGAGTCAGTCGGTACATTCAGAAAGGAACAATATTTAAACTCTCCTGAACCATCTAAATGCAATATATGGTTCCAAATTGAAGGTGGCATTATATTTGTACTGGACACTGACATTTTAGGGCTTTAACGCCCCTTTCAAACCGCCAGTGGACTTCCGTGTCTCACCAGCTCTGTGCGGCGATAAGAGCGCAGCACAATCAGGGAGATTTCAGCAGAGCATCTAATCGAGACCATATACAGTGTTCATAGGATATCTGTGCATTTTGAATATTTTTATTTTTTTCCTCACTAAACTCTGATATCAAATCCTATATTTATTTTACTGTAGACCAACAACTGAAGTATATCACTGCAAACTAGTGTCAGTCATGCTAACCACATTAACAAAATGATTTCATAAAAAAATCAATAATAACTGAGAGACAAATGTAACAAATGACAAGTTAAAATACAGAGGTATCCCTTTAAAGCAGGTATCACGGTTACACTCTGGTCTTACGCATCTACCTCTTTAAAGTGAAATCCACATTTGCATTACTGCTCATGAACATGCTTCACGGCCACCCTGACAACAGTTGAATCCGTGTGCTGCGGTCTACACGGCTCTGCAGATTTGATCCTTCCAACCATACCCTGCCGTTGAACCTTTCATAGATTAAACCAACTGGTTATAAAACGGTGATGATGAACAAGCTGCCATTTAACAATAAGGATTTTTTTTTTTGTCAGCAGAGGTTTTTGAAGATAAAGGATGTTAAATGTTCAAACTGAAATTTGTTGACAGTGTTTGTTAAATGCTGTGTCGGGTACATTCGTGTCTTTGTTGTTGACGTGGGTGGGTTTTACAATTAAAAGTTGTTTTATAAGCACTTTGTGGTGTCTCTGTTCACTGTGTTACTGTAGTGGTACAGTAAAAGTACTGTCAGTAGAGTCTGTAAATATTTTTAGCAAGCGATAACCTCAGTAATAAGAATGAAATATTTAGCAGTTTTCAGTGATTGATAATGAGTGACTGCAGGGACTCATCACTGCCTAGATCAGTGTTCATAGTATTCTCCTAATAAATGACTCGATCACATGAAAGAGCATTTCTTCCTTTAGAGGAGCGAACTGCACATCATCTATTTCTCTAACGCAACACTGATCACAGGGTGCATGGAGAGAGATGATGTCATGGCATGTCACTTACATCATCAGTGATGTGGAGGCTGTAGGAAGCACTTCCTCTTCCACTCTCCCAAGCAAGGGCAGAGTTTACGGGAAGGACACAGAGGACATGTCCCTACACACACACACACACACTTTCTCAGAAGGCAGTTTTGCACCCCTACACTTTTACCGTCCGAAAACTTTATATTTGAGAAGAAAAAGCAAATAGGAGAAACTGACCAAGTGGAACCAGTGCCCACTGCTCCATTTATTTCATAAACTTTGTTATAAATTACACAGGGAGTCAATGGAAAGTATGGACATGAAGTATACAAGTATGAAAAAATAAAAATATAAATCTAAAATGGTATCTATTAAAAGCTTAGTCTAGTTTATAGAGGAGCTACATTTTAAAATCTTGAGCTCAATAGTTTAATAGTTAATGTTTTACTTTTTATGTCTCCAAAAGTATAAAAGCATTCTTTGTAACATATTAACATAAAAACAAAAAATGATTTACTCCTCACTTTACACATCCTGCTTTGCTGCATCACCTTTATTGTTTTTGTACCTTCAGTAAAAATAACTTTCTTTTAAAAAGGTGTCCGTGTACATTTTGTTTGCCTGTGACAGCTTTGTATTTAAAGCCTCCAGAGGCCCCGCCCCCAAAGTAAGATGTTGTGCTTCCAATTACCTTCAGAGGTCAATTAGTTAAATAAAGTTTATGTGTGACACACACCACTTCAGTTTCTTACTTATTTTTTCCCTTTCACTTCACCAATTCTGACTTTCAAGTAAGTATATTAAATAAAATCCAAATCTAAAAAATAAAAATTATTTTAATTCCAGGTTGTATTGCAACAAAATAGGAAAAATGCCGAGAGGTGAATACTTTTGCAAGGCACTGTAATAACCCTGAAGAAGCAGAGGCCTTTGTGTGACTAACAGCATTAATGATGGCTCTGTTCAGTAAGCCGTGTACGTTTGCAGAATACGAGGACTCAGGAACTGGTGTGCCCGAGTAGAAAGGAGCCATCATTATTGTAATTAGTTACACCCATGGCTTCTCCTGCCCTGACATGTCCACATGTCTGATGTGGGACAAAGTCAGTTGTTTCTATATATCAGGACACATTTCCCTGTTTGCTAATCAGCCTTCCCATAATAACAGAAAAAGCTATTAACACGCTTGGTATGAAGTAAGTCTCGTTACCAACACCAAGGTGATATTCTCTAAATCAGTATAGATTGTATTTCCATGGATTAGGCAAAGTGTTGACTATTTAACAGGGATGTTACATCTTAAAGGATACAAAAAGACTTGTAGCTTAAATAGCATACATGCTAATTTATTTTCTGAATGTTTTGTTCACCATCAATTCAAAGTTCTGTCAATGAGTTTGGTGGGGTAGTTAAAGATCAATAAATACACATTGTGCTGTGCAATCAAGGTTACAATAAATTAAAGTATATTTTGCAATTACATATTTCCCATATTTAAACAATGCTGTTGCGTGTTGTACATACAGCAATATAGAAAACACCGACAACTAACGAATCACATTCCAATGCTCTGTTGTCCTCGGTCAACAAATTGAACATGAACACATGAGTGAAATACGGAGATGTTGTCAATTTGACAGTCTTTATTCATCTGTTAATGATCACTTTTTACAAAATTCACATGGGTGTCATCTTCCCGGCTCTGAAGGCAGCCTCTCCTCCAGTAAGTCCGTCCAATCAGCGCTGTGAGTCACAGCCCACTGCAGCAAAACACAAGCGGCTACGATAAGCCACTTGTTTCAAGCCTAGACCATATATCATATACACAAGTCCCTGTAGCATAATCAAAAGCACTGTTTGAAACAACAGCTCTGTTGACGGCGACAAAGTCGTACGAATCCCACAGGGAAGCCAGGGAAATTCATTTATGCAATTTAATCCTATTTTAAGCAACGTTCTCGTTTTACCTCCGAGTTCAAGATCATGTCAGTTCAGACGCAGACGAGACAAGACCTGATCTGATTTAAGTGGAGTCCAATCTTGGTCAAAACCTACGTAGATGCTAAATTGCTAGTTTTATTTAAAATGATGAGAGCAGCAAGAGCCATTTGTCTTTCTGTGCCGTCGGGATGAAATGTTCACTGATGCAACACGTCAAACCCTCCGTTCTCTGCCACATACAGCATTTCTACATGCACACATTTCAACCTTTTGGTGCCATTAAAAACATTTCTGGCATTGTCAAGCAAACAAGAAACTGTCTGTGGTTCACATTCCACACGCAGACAGACGTACAGACGAAGCTGCTGTGATCCTGCTGCTGACACTGTGACTCCGCAGCAACAGGAACTACTTCACAGCGAACATAGCTGGAGGATGATAGGGCAGAGCGAGAGTAAAAGAAAGGGGGGAAAAAGCTAAGAGACAGGATGTGAGCAGAGCAGAGAGATCGAGCAGAAGCAGACGGGCAGCAACAAAGGGGGCTAATGAAGGCCGATGGTTTCCCCGGCGCTAACGCCCCTTCATTAGATTCATCCCCCTGGCTAACATGTAGATGTTACAGAAAACACGACGATGGGAAACAGCAACTTGCCCATCCATCCATCTACCGCCGAGTTCAACTCCATCACCTCGCAGCTCAAGCGGAAACCCTGGCGAGGCTCAAATGGCGTCCTCGGGCGAGGGCTCCTCTGGCGACTGGCTGTGCGGCGGGGAGGGGACGGACTGCTGAGGAGGGAGAGGACCCATGGAGGGATGTGGGTGGCCGTCGAGCAGAGGGGGGCGCATGGAGGGAGCGTAGTGAGGGCGAGGGGCAAGAGGCCCACCGGGAGGGAAACGAGGAGGGAGCATCATACCTGGAGGGGCCCACACTGGAGAAGAGAGGGAAATGAGAAGAGCGCGTCAGGTTGACCGAGGACATTTTGAGATAATGTGGCACAAAGAGGTTGCGAAGATAGTCGTGACTGCTTACTCGGCATCATGGGAGGGCCCACAGGTCCCCTGGATGGGTAGAAATCAGGAGGCGGCGGGCCATAGGGGGCCCTACGAGGAAAGGGGCCACCCATGGGGCCCATCGGGGGAGCGCCCCCGATCCTTGGGTCAGCTTCAGGGGGAGTCCTTCGATCCCCAGGACCAGACTGGTGACGCAGATATGAAAAAAGGTAAATGGTACAGAAACCAAACACACACATGCTACTCAAACACACACACACACACACATACACACACACACACACACATCTCTTACTTCTCTGTGTTCCAGTTCACCGGGCCCGTGGCTGTTTTCTCTGTAGGGGCCATCTGCATTGAAATGAATGAATGAATAAATAAATAGAGGAAATGAACAATCATGAACAAGATGGTTCATGTGTGTTGTCTGAATATTCACAAAAGTTTGCGTTCTGCTTTTTCATTTCCATTTGTTCGTCTGTATACAGTCCAACAGAGTTAACTACAGCAGGACAGTGCCGATGAGAAGGCAATGAGGTAACGACGCGCTGCTATACAGGTCATGGGTGACTCACCCGCCATGTCTGCAGGGTGAGGGAGTCCCGGGGGGAGACCCCTGGGATGGAGAGGGCCCAGAGCTCCTAGGGGAGGTCTCCTGTACATTGGACCTCCTGGTTCTGGGAACATATACCCTAAGAGACAGACACACAGTGAGATAGAAAGAACACACTAAGATTATCAACAGCTTTGTGTTCCTAAAGCTGTAAACAAGTTAAACAAAGCTCTAGCTTTGCAGTGTAATCTCAGGATCATGTGATAAATGAACACAGAGCTTCACAGACAACTGCAGTTTCCAGTGTCCAAACCTCAAAAGGCATTAAACACAACACACATGCAGCATCAACGTGCATTTGGCATGCACGTGCACACTATCAGACTTTGACTGTTGACTTGCCAAAACGCAGGTGCAACCCTTGACCTTAACCATGGCTGCGGTCCACTTTAATTAATGTTATGAGCTACACCTGTGCATTGACTGCTGCCGCACTCAAACATGTCAGCAGTGGGTTCGGGTTCCCAAAACAATGCCAGACGCAGTACCACGACGCCTTCAGAGCGTACGTGACATATCGACGTGTATATGGTGCGATGCTGAGTTTTAACACAAGCATGAGTGATGGTATAATGACCATGACGAATGGTGGATGACACAACAAGATTTGTTTCCCTCCACAGTAAAATAAATCGTAATCTTCGATATGTTCATAGGCTGGTCAGGTTGTGTGAGCGACGACCCGCCAGACGTTACTGATACACTCTGTGCTTTTCTCTTTGTCTCTCTCGCACACACACCTGGAGGTCCTAGGGGCCCGGCGGGGCCAGGAGGTCCTGGTGGGGGGCCCCTGCGATCCCTCTCCCATGTCGGAGAGATCGAGCCGCTGTCTGAATGAGGACCTCCGCTCCGCTCCAGCTCTCCCTGGCCACCTGGGGGCTCCACTGGACCACGAGACACTGCGGAGGAAAGGACCCCCAAAAACAAGGGGGGAGAGAGAGGGAGAGAGAAGGAAGGGAAGAAGCAGAACCAATTGGCCAAAAACAAAATATCAGACAATTAGGCCAGAATGAGTGTGATTGCAAGTCGGAGACAAAGAGAAACCGTCTTGTCAATGTGAATGAACTGATACGATTTTAAGACATATCATCACGTTGCACTATTCTTCCCATTCTCTTTCCAGAGCGCTAACAGCATGCCAGCATACAGGCCGTGCTACTGCACACGTTTAAGCATCTACAGTTGATCATGCTGCAGCCAGCTGGTCATCTCCAACATGCTGCAAGCGTTTACTGGTCTTATCTGGTGGAGTGTGCAGTTACAGCTGTGTCTATATACGCGTGTGTGTGTGTGTGTGTGTGTGTGTGTGTGTGTGTGTGTGTGTGTGTGTGTGTGTGTGTGTGTATACCTCGAGGAGACAGTCTACTAGGCGGTCCATCCATTAATGTAGGAGGAGAGAGAAAAGCTCTGGTTTCAGATGCAGGTCGACCCAGAGGAGATGGACCGTATGGGGACCGTTCAGCTGAAAGGGTGGAGGGTAGTTTGGTGAGTGCAAAGTCAAGGAAGTCTGCAGCCTACTGCTTCCAGGCTGGGGTCCGGTGAATATGATGCGAGTTCAATGATTTAGTTTATATGCGCGTGTGCGTGTGTGTGTGTGTGTGTGTGTGTGTGTGTGTGCTAACCTCTGAAAGGCAGCGGTCTGGCCAAGCTGTCCAAGGCGTAGGGATCTTTGTCGAGGGCTTCTAGTTTAAACTGTGTGTCTGTCAGTCTGTGAACAAACACAACTAAAGTCAACACATGAGAAACATTTTCTGGACTCCAATATGTAATGTATACAGTATATAAAACCAACAGAGAGAAACATATCAAACATTTCTATAGAATTCAGAACTACGTGCATCTTTGAAGTTACACCACAGTTGGTGTCATGAGCCACAAACATGAATATATTCTAGGGGAGTTGCAGGTCTGTTTTTTTGTGTTATTGTGTAACTTTGGGGAACTATCTAAAGGAACTAAAACACCAAAGTCACACAATAACACCAACAAACTAACCGATCGAGGCGGAGGTAGGCTCCAGTGTTCCGCAAGATGAAATGACTGTTTCTGTCAAAGGAGTCTGGTCGCTTTGAAGCGAATATAGAACGAAACTGAAGGTGTGCCAACCGCCACCTACTGTAGGTTATACACTGACTATGGAGTACCTCAGACCAACCCAACTTCAAAGCCTCCGTACTATCCCTTTAACCTCTTGTTAATGTAAGTTAGGCGGTCAGTTACTGTCTGCTTACTTCTGTCTAAAGAGGCCGTTCTCTCTCCTGATGTCCGTTAGTTCTCTGTCTGCTGCTCGGGCTGCCAGCTGCAAAATCAAGCCAAGATCAGAAACATAACATGACGGAAGTAGATACATATGGATGCAGTCGAGTGCACAACATCAAGATAAGCACTCATAAAGTGATCTAATGTCAGAGCAGATGTGTGTGTGCTGTAGTGACAGGAAAATAGGAGAAAACAATAACAGCCACAACTGAATCTATTTGGCTATCAAAATAAAAAAGAATACTTGATATTTTCTTTATTGGACTAACCCAGTTATTGTGAGCCTTCTTCTCGTGTGCTGATATTTGAGTCTGGTAAGACTGTTTGGTTTTCTCCAGCTCCTCCTCCATCTCTCCCGCTCGTTGTCTGAAGGGAAAGGTGACATACAGGTGAGACTCTACGGGTGTTTCCTGTGCTCACAAACTGCCAATGTGTTCGAGGTGACAGGGAGCAGCTACCTGTAGTTGCTCAGCTCCTCCATGGCCAACGCAATGTTTCTGTCCGCTTTACTTAACTTCTCCTGCTTCTGCATGCGCTCCTTCTCCTCCACCGTCAGCAGCCTGCAAACGCACACGTTCATCAACATCTGCTAGAGCTGGCTTTTGCTCTTTCAACTTCTCCGCACCTTTAATCCTCGTGGGTCGATTACCTGTGTAGCTTGAGCTCGTTCTCTTGGTACATTTCTGTCATGATGTGCAGTTTCTGTTGTAATCTTTGGACCTGTGGAAGACGAGAAATGAATCCGAAAGCAAATAAGTGTGGAAAAACAAAATAATAAATAAAATATCACAGTAATACTTAGTAGAGGGCAGCTACCTGATCTTGGTACTGCCCAGAGTCTGACTGCAGAGATGACTTCTCATTGACCAGCTCCTTGATGCTCACTAGAGGGGGAAACAAAAGCACACACACACACACACACACACACACACACACACACAGACGTGACAAACATCAGTGACACGTCTCGTCTATACGCTGATACCATGGAGTGTGTTCTGTATTCCAACGGTTGACTCACCTTGCAGGTCTTCTTTTGCTTTGACTTCATCGTTCAGTTTGGCAAACAGTCTGTCCTTGTCTTCATCTACAGCTTTGAGGTCTGCGTTCAGCTACACGGAAACACACACACACACACACACACATTCAGTATGTAAGTGTACGGAGATGGTGAATACGAGTCTGGTTGCTCGCTCTCCAGAGAGTTTCCAAACATTCCAGTGTCATTAACACTGCGTGCCTTTTTTTCCATTAAATTAAAATACCTTAGCAGCGTAGATGAGTTTCTGGACTTTCTGGAGATGGCCCTGTGTGTCCAGAACTTCCCCTTTTCCATTTGCCTCTGCTCTACCATTGGACGTCTCCTTCTCTCCTCCTTGCTCCTCCTCCAGGTCTGAATCCCAAGCTTTCATCCTCAGCAGCCGATCTGTCAACGACTGGAAGCGTACCCGTATTTTGGTGTCAAGCTCATTTCGGACAACACAAAGTAATGTAACTGAAGCCTTCATCGATTGCATCAGTTTGCAGCCTTCTTCCGTGGTATTTCTCGGGGTTCCCGTTATTTGCAACCCAGGTGGCATTACACAGCATCTAGCCACAACATACTGTAATGAATACTCGAACCGACCGTACCGTTAAACGCTCATCCTTGTTGGCCACATCCTGCAGCATCGCGCTGTGGGCCACCTCACACCTGCTCATCTCTGCCTCCAACTCACTCACTCTCTCTGCCCAGCCCTCCACCTGCTGCCTCAACTGCACGGAGAAAGAGGGGGGAGAGGTAAAGGGGAGGATGAAGATGTAAAGAGTTCACTCAGAAAACTATGAATAGAGTATGTGATTGGATGGACTGAGTGGAACAAACTGGCTAAGCTTTCAATTCAACCATGCAAAAAGTAAAACCGCCTCGCTTGCTACCATGTGGTTGCAGGTGTACAGCATCCTACCTGAGCGTTGCTCTCCTGCAGCAGTGCGTTCTCCTCTCCGGCGGTTTCCAGATTCCTCTGTAGTCTGTCACTGTTCATACTGTACACTTTCAGAGTGGTGTGTGCCTAGAGACAAACAGGCAGTGACTCATTTCAAACACGGCGGCACAGAGCAGAGGAGGGAAAGATGAAGCAGGAGAGAGGAGAGGACAGGAGTGTGACGGTAACGAGAAGACGGGTTAGGTAAAGGTACCTGCTCGTCCTGTGACTGGAGGTCTCTGGTTTCTTCTTCAGTGGTTTTCATGCTCTCTTCAAGCAAAGCTATCTGGAAGGATAACCAAAAATAAATAAATAAATATATATATCTCACACTAATGGATTCCCATTCCTATCCAAATATCATTCTTGACAGATGTTACAGCTGGTATTGTTGGTCAGAGTGTGTGTGCTCCTACCCTTCTTTCCTGCTCTATCCTTTGTTCTCTCTGCTGGTCCAGTTGATCCTTCAGTTGTTCCAGATCCCTATCCAGCTCCCTCTTAGCATGTCCTAACTGTCTGGCTTTGACCTGGAGGAGGTTCAAGAGAGAGCAAAAGAGTGAGAGAATGTGGCGGGAACACGAAAGTCAGGCCACAGAGGTAAAAATGTGAGAAATCATTCATTCAAATATCGTGAGGCAGTTACATTTTTCAAGTTTTCACAGTAAATCGGCTTCCATCAATGTTTCTATTATAAGAATGTCTCAAATAACGACATGACGCCATTGCGGGGATCACTTGTAGTGATGAATCTACAGATGATTCTCAGCTGATTCTCAGCTGATTCTGCAGCTCTCCTCTGCTTTACGGAGCTTCATAGTGAGTTTCAGCTCTTCGGTCCACAGCTCTACTCGTCTGTTTCACTGTGTCTCTCATAGTGTCGTTTGTGGCCGCAGCAGGCTGCTGTTTTCAGCAAACAAAGCTCTAAAAACCCTCTGTGTACACTACCTGCTCAACACCAAACAGCAGACAGACACAGTAAGAGACTATCATGTGAACATAGAGGAGCATTTAGCAGCCAAATAGCCAGATATTATCCTCAGGAGTAACACAGCATGACATGCCTCAAAATGAATAATCATTTTGCTCCATAGCGGCTGGATGTGTGAACAAGCAACTGTTTGCTAACAAGTTTGCGGTATCAACTTGATAGGTGATGATGTGTCAATGTTGTGTTCACAGCTGGTTTCTGCTGCCCCAAGTGGACAAAGAAATATCAGTTAATGCTGGTTTAAGACAATTGGGTAAAATGTGCAAACAATGAAATACCTTGAAAATCTCAGTGGATTTCTTGGGTGAACCATTTAAAAGAGTACTAACTGAATAAAGTTACATCTTATGAACAACAATAGACACTGTGCAGAAGCTCTTTTTTCTCTCTGCCTTACCTCCAGATGTTCTGTCCTTTGAGTTTGGGCCAAGACACCACTGTCCCTCAGCGTGCTCTCCAGGTCATCAGACTGCAAATAAAACACAATGAGGAAATACATCTGAGTAGCATGACAAAAAGTGCCTTTCATCAGGATTCAAACGTATGTTCATAACCGTCTTTAATAGCTTTGCAATGGTCTCACCCCGCTTCAGACAACATGCTTAAGACTGTGCATCTTCTAATTCAGACCATCTTCATGCCATGGAAATGGAAACATATCATATGAATTTGGCCTCAGTTGGAACCACCGCGTGTTGTGTGTCAGTAGTCAGTCAGCACTGGCACCAGTACCAACCTCTTGTTGACATTTGCTGAGAGTCTCAAGGACTTTACACTTCTCGTCCAGCAGCTCCGCCACCTGCTCAGCCATCCTCCGCTCTTTACCTGAAGAAAAAAGGGAATCAAAACTTATAAAAGACATTCAAATCATTGTCTAACATATTTCTGCTGAATGGTTGAATTGGCCGTGACTAGTAGTGTTTTATTCCTGTCAAGTCAAAAAAATGTGATATTAAGGAATAAGTGGTGAGAACTTACTTCGATACATTCTGCTTTTGACCTGTGAAGAAATGAAAAGAAAACAACAATAGTTAAGGGATTAATCGGTTGATAGACTTGCCGACTGCAAATGGAACAAGTGTGGTCTCTTTGTGTCTCTATGTTTAAACCAACACTACCATCACAATTTTATATACTGCATATACAATCTGTGTGATGTTGATGCGTATAACATACATGGCTGTGTACTTACAGAGCTATAACATCTACAGGTGAACAACAGCATCGTCACCAGCCCCACCACACCGGAGACGATGACTGGTTCCCATGGCACCCCGTACAGGTCTGGCCCGGGTCTGATGTCATCAGGCAGAGACGACACAACCTGAATTGACACAATGGGATCTTTACTGTGGATATAAGAATCAGCTTCTCAGTGCTGACTGACTGACTGCAAACTAGTTATAATGTGAATGAAATGAAACATTACAGATAGTTACATGCAGCCTGGCAGTCAGAGAGCAAACAAACAGCTGTTGCTTCTGTAGGTTGGGCTTCTTATATTTATCAAAGGAGCCAAACAACTGGCTTATTTCATCTCCAAGTAGTAGTTGTAGCCTTGACTACTCAGACTTAACAGTTTCCTACACAGCTGTTAATTAGAAGGAGTAAGATAGATAGTACGTTACCAGAAATATAAATTAAAAAAACACCTTTTAGATTACAAAAAGCATGAAAGCACAAAACCTGATCAGATATACAAATGGTGCTATTATGTAACAAGCTAACGTTAGCTAACTATTACTAGCTAACTTACTAGCTGAACAATTACTAACACATCTGAAAAAAACGACTTATAATCTCAATGTAGTCGTGACAGCTGGTTAACAGCACTGGCTCGACACAAGTGCAATCAAACACGAGCTGTACAACATGTAAATGATGTACTCAGCAATAATACCGTGCTGTTTTCGATAGCTTGACAATCCGTTACGTTATGTCAGCTAGTTAGGGAATGCTAACGAAACCTGCCACATAACGTACATCCTTCACTCTCTCCACGGCGATACTGTAGTAAGCCTCCGCCGTCGCCTGGAAGTCGACCGCTTTGCTGGCCGACTGGTCGCTTGCCATATGTTCCGCCATTTCCGAATTATCTCATTTGCTTATTATTCTAGTGATAGCTGTCATTTAAAGACTGACATTAGGAAAACAAATCGTAGCCGTCAACCGGGCTGTCGGCGATTTCACATCCTATTCACAACACCGAAGCTCAAGAGTGGACCACGTCACGTTGCACGTCGTAGGGGGGCAAGATGTTGTATTCTCTCTGTAAACTCCTCGTCTAGATTCCACTAGATTAGTTCTGCTTCATAACGTGATATCAACTAAATTGAAATATATTTGAGGTATTAATTAATACACATACATTGATTTGAGCACTCACAGGGTTATGTAGATATATAAACACCCCCGCCAGTGTAAATGGTTCACTCGCAACGTCACCAATTGTAGAATGCCACACTGGCACATCGGAGCACTTTTAAAGTGACACCGACAGAAACAGGTGTCCCTACACTCAGGGCTCTGACGACACCGAAATGCAAAACTCTCAATGTCGTTGAGTCTTTGATAATCTCCCGAATAAACAACATTATCATTTAAAACGTAGCACATCATGTTTTTACACAAATGCCATATTTCTCAAGCTGTTTACGACCATGTGTCACGTGTATTGAGTTACGGCAGGGTCATGGTAATAACAAGCTGGTTCAAGTAGTACATGGGTGAAAACTCGACTCAGTCAGCAAATGTTTCAAAAAGTACTCACCGACCTGACCTCGTTTTTGTCCATTTGAAACTATCACAAGACCTTTGAAAATATTTGAAACGGTTTGCCTGTAGAGAAGGTGGGTTGCCAGCTGGCTCAAGGTGTGTAACAGACCCCAGCACTCAGGAATGTGAGTGATGATGACGGAGCCAAAGCCAGCCTGACAGCTAAATGTCCAGAGGGAGAGTCAGGTCGACATGACACAAGTTCCGTCTCTTAAAGAACCAGACTACACAGTGTGTTGACACTGAAAGATCAGCTGTATGGACCACTGAATGTTTGTCAGAGGGTCAATTCCAACACCCTGTACACAAAGATCAAAATGTAGCCATGTATAGGCCATGTAATACATGTGTACTTTTAAGTTACCAAACATGTTAAAACTGGGCTAGGCAAAATGTCTGACCAAACAAAATGCACCCTGCTTTAAGCCCCAGTCATAATGCCTATGAAACAATGTTGTGAGATGGGGGAAAAAACAGTGAAAGAACATATTTAATTAAAAAAACTATGCCAGTGTTTTTTAGTTGTTTTGTTTTTTTACATTCGACTCTTTTCACCTGGGAAGAAGTGAAGTTTTAGATTGCTTAAGAACTGTGCTCCAATGATTTTCTGTTAGGATTTAAATCAAATGTTATGTCTTTACTGCACATCTTGTGCATGATGAAACACCCCCTCTCAAACACACACGTTATCTCTGTTAGTGTTATTTAATGGTGTTTGGAACGGACCTGAAAGACGACCTGGAGCGAAGAACAACCATAATGTGTTGTAGCTGTGTAGTTAGATGTCACATGACAAACATATCGTACTTATATCTTTAAGCGTTTAGTGATAGTGGAGCCTACATCCGGCCTCCATGGAGTCCATTTATCTGCAGATAAATCTTACCTGCACAGTAAGCCATATGAGGAGCTCCCTCGCCGCATGAACATGAGTGGTTGAGTCTTCGGCGATCTGATGAGCAAAGTCCAGAATTGGCCTCATTACCCCTGGAATTAGATTCACAAACATATCGTCACAAAGGTATATTATTCAAATTCAACTCAAAGCTTTTATCTTTAATGTATTAATGTACTAGTGTGAGACTAAATAATGTTCTGCATGCCATAATGTTCCAGGCTGTGTCGCAGGAGGAATGAGGATGCAGCAGGCCACGTTGCACTCCTTTTTAATATCTTATTACTTAATATCTTTGAATCCTTCTTGATTTAGGGATACTTGAGTCATCCATACCTTCCAGTGGCTGTGGTGATGCTGACTGAGTGTGAGGACGGGACTCAGGGGGCACTCTCTCTCCTTCACTTGTTTTTCGCTCCTCTCCCCTTTCCTCATCCTTGGTCACCCTCTCTTTTGCTGTGCCTCCACTCAGTCGTCCATCTTTCTCTTTATCCAACCCCACCCATTCATCTCTTGGAGTGTTGCTATCTCGGCCCACGGAGGAGTCCTCCTCAGCGGGCGTCTCCTTATCTCCGCTTTGAGTTGAACAGAATTCCCCGACACAGCTGGCCCCAGCTGCATTTAACAGGGAACACACATGCAACTCTGATTGAGATCATAGCAAGTCAAACCCATACTTGAATTCAAATATCAAAGTAACTTGAAGAATATCTTTGAGGCCATGAAAATACTTTGCTGGTTTGTGCTGCTGATGTCTGATTCACCTGTGCTGAAAGTCTCTCTCACTCTTGCCAGCAGCGTTTCTAGCTTCTGAAGTGCGATGAGCGTTCTGGTCTTTTCCTTGTCCTCCCTTGGTGCGTCCGCGAGCCTCACGCTGGGAGCCACCAGTGCCTCCTTGTGATAACCCAGAAGTCTCTCTATATCCAGCAATATCGAGTCGTCGCCATCGGGGTCATCGGTCGTGGTTCCCACGCTCCCTAACACGTAATCCAGAAACTGCAGCTTGTGTCGCCCGAAGAGCTCCGTCAGAACGGTCAACTCGTCTGCGCTCATGTGGGCGAGGAGGCTCTTGTGATGTTGGGTGAGGGTTTTAGTCTGGAGTGGGCTTTCTGCGGGGTGAGAACGGGTCTGCGTTGGGGATGGAGGTGATGTCTGGGTCTCTGCGACAGGAGGAGAAGGCTGCGGCTGCTGCCGTGACACAGTGATCGGAGAGTCTGAGTGCAAATCCTTCACGTTAACCTGACTCGAATCAGTGGTTGAATCCAGTTCTTTCACAGGAGGGGGAGAGGTTTGTACCTTGGATGTCTCGCCTGTGTCAGAACCCAAACTCGGTGCAGACTCTTTGGCTCCCTCAGTTTCGGTGATGGGCGATTTGAAAAAGCTAAAGGCGCTTTTGAAAAGGCCGAACGATCCTCCACTTCCAGGCTCTCCTGTCCCTATATCGTGACCATCAGACGGAGCAGATAGCACAGCCGGGCTTTCAACGGGGTCAACGGACAAAACCGGAACCTCCATCCCGCCGTCTGTCCTGAAATCATCATGCTTAGCGTTCATCTCCCTCTCTTCCCTGTCAGTGTGCTCCTCTGTTACTATCTTATGATCAGAGTGTACTTGCTCTGTTTCCTTCTCAGGGGAAACCCCTTTGCTGATGGTTTCAGAGTCTTCAAGCTCCGTGTTGTGGGCCTCACTGGAATGCAGCTGATCATCTTCTGTGTTCTCAGTTGTCTGGCCAAGTGAAAGTGGATTAGTGCTCTCACCCGAATGTGGCAAACAATTGTTTTTCCCCTCGTCGGCCATGGCGCCATCATCTCTTTTCTCTTCCTTTTCTTCCTCCACCTGTATTCCATCCTCATCCTTCTCCAGGCCTTCAACTGGTACCGGCTGACTCGCTCCTGTCCTGTCTGCTAATATTTGATCATTGTCGGCCACTGGATTTTGCTGTCCTGTCTCCATTGCCCCTTCCTCTAGTGAGCTCAACATATTTGCAGGATCATTTCCATCTCTGTCCCGCACAAATCGGTCTTCGCTAGCTTCAGAACAAAGCTCATTGGAACATTTAAGGGTCACATCTTTCTCTTTGTTCCTCCTCAAACTTTCCACATTCTCCATCTCCTCAACCTCCTCTTTCATTTCACCCCTGACCTTTTCTTCCTCTCTCTCCTCCTCTTCCATCTGTGGGTTTTTGGTACGGCTCTTTTCAGTCTGCATGGACGGTTTGGAGAACACAGATTCCGAGCTGTTCTCGTCTTGTGTCTCTTTCCTGTCGCTCTCTGGCTCTGGACTGTCCGTGTCTTTCTTAGCATGAGGTAAAGAGTGGAGGCTGTTTTCCATCTCTTCCCCAAAATTAGACTGTGCTTGTTTTTCTTCACCCTCTTTAGTCTCTTGTTTCTTTACTCCTTCTGCCTCCTTCAACTCCTCCCTTTCCTCCGCTTCTTTCAATTCTTCTACCTCCTCCTGCTTTTCCTCTTTTAACTCTTCTATCCCCTGCTGCTTCCCCTCTTCCTTTAACTCCTTAACTTCATCCTGTTTCTCCACTCCCTTTAACTCCTCCTGCTTGTTCTCCTCCTTTATCTTCTCCATCTTCTCCTTCTTTTCCTCTCCATTTGAATGCTCTTTCTCCCCCTGCTTTTCCTTTAACCCCTCCATCCCTTCCTGTTTATCCCCTTTCTTTATCTTCTGCCCTTCCTTCTGTTTCCCTACTTCCTTTATCTCCTTCATTTCCTGCTTTTTCTCCTCTTCCTTTATTTCTTTTACTGCCTGCTGTGTCTCCTCTCCCTTCAACTCTTCTACTTCCCACTGCATTTCATTTTCTTTTGACTCCCCCACTTCCTCAGTCTGAGTCTCTGTTCCAGAGCCGATAGCTGACTTGAGACCACTTTCATTCAAAATGTATTTCTCTAACTCAATTGTCTCAGTTTGAACTGGCTGGAGGTTGTTTTTGTCACTATCTCTCTCAGTTTCTTTAACAGTTTCCTTTAGCTCGTGTGCAACACCAACACTTTGAGTGGACCTCTGTTGCATATGTGGAGACACAGAGTCCTGATCTGCAGTGTTTTCAATCTGTGTTGCGCTCTCATTGGTGGAAAGCGTTCTTCTGTCCTCCTCTGAGGCACTTTCATACGTACTGTCAGTACTTTTGTTAGTAGAACGGGATGATCCAAACTCCTGAGAGCTGCCCTCACCAGCCTCCCCCTCCTGTCCTATCTCACTCTGAAGTGTCTCTGTTTCTGTGCTATCAATCATAGCTTGTGAATCTGAACTATCATCATTAGTTTCTACACTGTGAGAAGGCAGAGGCTCATCCTCATTGGAGACTGGTTCATTTCTCTCCTCAGCTGTGCCCAACGACAACAGAGGCTGACTCTTTCCACCGCTCTCTCCGCCGCCTTGACTTTGATCTGCTGAGTCATCAGTCCGGGTCGTGGAAATGTCTGGGTGAAGGACATCTGTCTCTGCATCATTCCCTTCACCTTCATGACTACTCGCACTGATTCTAACCGCATCGGTGGATTCTTGTGTGTTATCAGTCTGATTTGGGATCCCGGCCCCTTCCTCAACCGCGTCCTCTGTTTTGTCCTCCTCAACCTCGCCTACAGATTGCCCCACGGAGTTTAAATTCAAATCCACAGTCCCAAAATTGATGCCAGATTGTGTAAAAAAATCCTGATTATTGCCACTTGCAGTGTCACTCTTGTCTCCTCCTGCCTCTCTGTTATTAACCTCAGCCTCACTTTCTATTGATTTGGATATCTGATGATCTTCACCCTCCATTTCTGCAGATTTCTCTTTCTTGCGATCGTCTGAAACATTGTCTTCCTCTTCTTCCTTACTGCTGTTGAGCATTGAAGACATTCCACCTTCAGTGTGGGACGTTTTCTCTAACTCGGTCTGAGTAGAAATGTCTTCTAGGTCGACCTCGGATGCTGCATCTTCAGGTGAGACACGATCCTTGCTGCTGTCTGAAGTACCTATGTCGTTATTATTGACTCGGATCTCTGGTGGGACATTTTGATCTTTTGGCATTTCTTCCATCTCTGATTCATTGCCAGTCTCTGTCCCTACCTCTGTCGGTGCACGTTGAGATTGACCGGTATTCACATTCTCTGAGCCTGTCGGATGTTCTAAGGTTTTGTCCTCTTCTGTCTCCTTAAAACCACTTCCTGCACTCTCATCAACTTCCCTCTTGTCTTTCCTAAAACCTAAAATGTCCCCGATCCCCACATCAAACCAAGAACCAGACGCCGGCTGTTCTTCCTCTTCCTGGATTGTCTCCTCGGCCTCTCTTTCAGGCGTTGTCTCGTGCCCTGACTCCTGATTGGTCAGGCCGAACCCCAGCGTGCTTGACAGTCCGCTTCCCAGCCAATCCAATGTCCCCTTCTCTTTCTTCTCCTCTTCGTGTAATTGGCTGCCTTCCAGGTCCAGAGACATCCTCCTACTCCTGAATCTCTCTGCTGGTTCTTCGTCATCGTCTCTTTCTTCACCTCGCTCTTTTTCTGCCGTTTTTGTCTCTCCTCCAAAGCCAAGCCACCCAGTCATGGTTGACGTAAAAGAATCTGCATTTTCTGTGTCTTCTTCTCTACTTTTCACAGCGTCTTCAGGTTTTCCCTCTTCTCCCAACCCCAGCCATCCTGTCACGGACGAAGCTACAGAAGCTTCGGCCTGCCTCTCTGTTCCCTCGTCTTTTTTCCCTGCTTCAGCTAAACTGCCGGCTTCTTCCTCTTTAGCCAGACCTAACCATCCTGTCACTGAAGAACCGAGCCAGGAGGAGGATGGGGCAGACCCACCTTTTTCCCTCAGAGCCGCAGGAGTCTCCCGCGCTCCCTCGAGAGTCCCGGCACCGCCGTCGCCAGCACTTTTGTTTTCGTTCTCTTCTGCCGATGTGCCGTCAGCTTCCTGTGCCGAAACTGCAGAGAGATCTTCAGATGTCGAAGGACTTTCAGCGCTTGTGTCATCCTGGTATGGAGATGTTTGGGTGGTTTCTGACTCCTGCTTTTTCTGATCATCATCAGCATCACCATCTAAATGACTGGAGTCAATGGGGTAACCAAACTCATCCATGCAGAAGAAATCAGATTTCTGAATGAAGAGAGGAAATGAGGAATAACAGATTCAACATTACTACTATAGGTATACATATATATACTACTATAGCAACTACTAATTTGGGGATAAATACTGTACCATATCACAGTCTACCATTCTATTGTATTTGATAGCAACCATGTGGTTTAGTCTTTATGAAAGAGAATGATTTGACCAAAGCCTATACTCTGAAGAGATACTGAAATCAAAGCCTATTCACCTGTGTTTCCACTACTTTCTCCATAGCAGCGTAAACCAGCTCCTCTTGCACCGCTTCCTTCGGGAAATAGCCGAACTGTTTGTCAATCTGAAAGCAAAAGGAAGCAGAGTTCTGTAAAGCCACGGCACCGTTGTGGACGAATGGAGGGAAGGAGCACACGGCAATCAAGAGGAGAGGGAAAGAGAGACTGACAAAGATGATGAAGTGCATTTCCCGCTTAGTTTTAGGATCCTTGGCTATGAATGCAAGTATGGCTAAGTGATGCTGATGACAATAATAATGTTGTTAACAGCTGTAGGCCCATCAGAAGAGAGGCTTTGACTGTGAGCCTGATTAGCACACAGAGACTTTGTACAAGAACTCTTAGAAATTCAGGAGGATACTTAGTACTACACAGCATGGTTAAAAAGGGGATTTCATTTCTGTTATTTTTAAATCCTGACACATTCTAAGCTAAGGGTTACGCGTCTGATTGAACTATAATCTTGTACTCCATCATAATGAGAAGTACTTACAGTCCATCCAACTCATTCCATAAGCTTCTCCTAACACGCATGCTTGTGCTTCAAGTGTACATTTATGTGAAACACTCCACAGTATAAAAGAAGGTAGATTCACATTGATTCATTTCTTTGCTTAGCTCAATGCAGGAGCGGGTTTTGGAGCATTTGTCAGGTCACCAAGGTTCAACAAAATCCCTGCGAGGAATGGTGTAGTGTGGGTCATTACTTAAAGAAAAATAATTTACATCTTGATCAATATTATGTCTGAAAAGCAGAGCAGTTCTTATACAGTGGATGTGTGAAGTGATTACAAAATAAAAGACTCACAGGTAGGTAGTGATGTTGGGTCAGCACATAAACATGTTAGTGTTTACAGTCATCCACTCATTCCGTCTGTTTTCGTACATAATTACACCGTTATTTAAATGAACTGGAGTGCTCTCACAGACATTTGTTGTTTATCAGGTACAGTGTTACCATGCCTGAGCCAATCAGTGCTGAGAACCCTGAACTCTCTGTATTATAATCAGGACTAATGTCTTCAATCTAGAACCTCACACGAGGGACTGTTTGAATGGAGAGAAAGAGATGGAGCTGTCAGACTCACACTGCCTGCCCAGAGGTCTTCTCTCTTTCCCGTCAGTTTGTGGTAAACAAAAATGGTGTCCCCTCGTCTGAAGCTCAGGAAACGGCAGTCCTCGCCATGGTGGTCCCTGGTGGCCTGCACTCTGCTCATCAGGCCTGCACACACACACACACACACACGATTAATAACGATTAAAATTAACAAACAAAAAAAATCCCACAGATTACCATCGTAAAGAAAGAAAATACAGACTTAATTAGATAGAAACCACATCATAAACTCATAAAAAAGATAATAATTTAAAACTTACTTTGACACTCAGAATCTCCACAGATCTTGTAGTCAGACAACAATCCCAGACTGAAGTGAGGTAAAATCACAAAAACTATGCCTGTACCCCACAGGATTTTGCATGCCTGTGAAACAGCCATTATTGTTGTCTTAACAGGAATGAATCAAGAAGAAATGTCATACTAACTCCAAAAGAACTGCGGCCAGTTGTGCTGGCAAGTGGACATTGCCTGTAAACTGTTGCTGTCATGAATACCCAATGGTAAGTGAGAGCGCTGAGATAAGATATAAGGTGAGCCTGAGGATAATCATTAACATACAAGAGCTGTTTAGCAATACAGCATTATCTGGATACTGGTCAAAGGTTTTTGTTATATTTTATTTCAGTTCAATATTACAGAGGAACTTCTAAAATGGTCATTTCCCCGTGGACTAATTTTTTTTAAAACATGGCAGCTGATTATTATTTTGGTCAGACTACGTCGTGGACGTTTTGTGGACTTCAGCCTTTCTCTAGAAATATGACAACTCGTGCGGCGTTCACGTCACCATAACAACCAACGCCGCGCACAGAGTTAACGTCATCACTTCGCGCTTCCAATCAAGATGGCTTCCTAGTTTCACACGTTATACCAACACAGGCGCTTGATTCGCACTTGGCAACAACATTGTACCTCGCGCGTCTCGACAGACATTCGCTTTCAATTGGTTTCAAAATGAAGTCGGACGTGGAGGAGTTAATGCCGAGGCTGCTGCCCGTTGAGTTTGGAGCCGCTGCAGAGGACCTGGACCTGAATGGACCGCCGAGAAACCCCCGCGAGTACCTCCGACAAGTCCAGTGAGTTCACCTCAAATAATTCCTATTTTTTTCTGCGTGCACAGTGACACACTTAGGGTGAATGCCGTGTGCTACCCCGATGCTACCCCCGGAAAAAGTGTACAAATGGTGGATACTTGCGAAGCTCGTCGGCTAACGTTAGCTAGGTTCACGTACCCAAAGAAAGTCAGACGGAGAGTTGTATTGTGACAGCCAGTGTTACAGTATATATTGCTTTATTGTTCAATGTCCACGCTTTGCTCAACTATAATCACATTAGAAATATGTATTTTTCATGTGAGTATAGTACATGAGGTGAACCAGTTCGCCATGTGCTTGAATGTTATATTTTTCATTATATATGTTTCATGTTATACGTATAATCTATGTTCTTCGTCAGGTTGGAGGCCTCACTGTGCCCAGAGGTGGTGGTTGCTCAGATTGACCCCAAGAAGCTGAAGAAGAAACAAACCATCAATGCCTCTGTGAGTAACCGTGCACACTATGAGGCGCGTCGTATTAAATGAAACAAAGAGTGCATAAACATACAGTGCAGTACAGATCTTAATGAGGCTCTTTCATGTCATTTGTGCTGTTTATTTGAGTCATTTTAAGGTTATGTTTAAGAATCAAGCTTGTGTTTTTCAATATACAAATCAAAACCAAAAACAATTCATCAGTAGACCAGACTGCTTGTGTAAAGTATAAAATGAGTTTCAAGGGACACACGGATGATGATGGCGGGTGTGAGATCACGTGGGATTGGAACTACTATGTATTCCACTCCTTCAAGAGGTGTCTTCTGTTTGAAGGTGGCGGGTTGCCATGCTGCTCCGGAGGGGTTCTCCCCCAGCCTCAGTTGGCAGCAGCACCAAGTCAGCAACTTCTCACATGTCAGACAGGTAAAATAAAACCCAGAAGACATCATCCAGTACTTTGTTTTTTTGTTTTTTTAAACTTTAGTTCATAAAATGCTAAACACTGTATCACATGTACATTCTAAATAACCAAAACCTCAAAGCTATGTCTGGAAACCCTTTGTTGAGCTGTCTAATCACTGACTGTATTGTGTGAAAGGTGTAATCCATGTCACGGGATGATCAAATAATCTTACTTGGCTCTGTGTTTAAGTGTGTTGCAATGATGCTCTTTGGCAGGGTTATTGAATTAAAAAATACAACAATCCCTTTTTACAATCAAACTATGTATGGGTTCTGCCTTTTGCATTCAGAGCATCACAAAGAACAGGGATCACTGGAGCAGCAACATTCTGGACGACGACGTAAAGATGGTGAGGAGATGACCTGGGCCGCAGAGTTCATTCCATGGCTACAAGTGCAAACCGATCACCAGCACATTTGAGGTGTCACCTCGAGAGCCTCCGTTTGTGTGTTTGAGCAGAATACTGATCGCTAGCAACACTTGCATTTGGTATAAATTCACATTTGTGTGTGTGTCCGACAGCCAGAGCTAACGGATGAGGAGGGCTGGAAGAGGTTTTGTTTAGGAGAGACGGTCTATGCGGGCGCTTCATCCAGCCAAACAGAAGCTGAACCAGAGCCGTTGCTGGATTACAGCAAGGTTGTATGAATGTTTGTGTGAAGTAAATTACTCATTTACTGAACTGTCATTTTTAATTTAATTTGATGGTCAGGTAATGGGCTAAATTCATACAAGAATCTTTCTATAATAATGAAACGTGTGTCCGTGCTCAGGTGGGCTACCCTCCCTTCCTCACCATCATCAGCAGACTGAACCAGGTGAACAGCCTCCTCCTTCACACACGTAACTCACATTCTGAAAACCAATCCAGCCGTCTGATTACTTGTTCTCGCTCTCTGTGTCGTCAGTCCACAGTGCTGATGGTGTTGGAAGTTCTAATCTGCTGGTTTGAGGAACACGAGTTTGTTCCACAGTTGGTGAGTTCAGTTCGTTAAGTCACTCCGCGTTTTTTTCCGATCGGTTGCCAACTCCTCATGTGTGACACCATGTTGTTGTTTGCCTGCTGTAGGGTCGCTGGTTGTACGCGTTGTTGGCCTGCCTGGAGAAGCCTCTGCTGCCCGAAGCCCACTCCTCCATCAGACAGCTGGCCAGGAGATGTGCTCAGCTCCGCAGCACACTGGTACGACTCTACCAATGTGTCTGCTGCTCCCTTAGCTCCTCTGTATTTAAGTGGAACATCTACAAGTTGAATTCATCTCGTTGGTGCTAAAAGCTCCCCGCTGAGGTGTAGGTGGTAGCTTATAGTGTCCTGTCATGGTAGCTCTCACAGCTCCTGCCAGAAACAATACAACCTTGTACTTTCTACCGTGTACTATTCACAGCGAGGACTGTTCCGTTTTTATTTTGCTTTTATGATTCCACAGGAGAGTCAGGAGGACGAGAAACTGCCTGCCCTCAACCTGCTCATCTGTCTTGTTGCCAGGTATCTACCACTGCGGTCACATGACATTTAATACATGAGGGCTGTCTGCAATGGTTGGTCATATTAAATCCAACACAAAGAGAGAGAGCTGTCAAGAATTTGTGGTCCTACCAGTATCTTGTTTATACAGAGTGATTATACCAACAGATTACAATTTGTATTATATATATTACATATGTCAGATATAACATGCATGCTCTGCTCCGTGTCTTTCCTGCAGATACTTTGAGCAGAGTGACCTGGCAGACCAGCCGGAGTGAGCACAGACGTGTGGCATCCTTCCAGATGAGTGAAGCAACGTATGAACAATTGAAGATGGAGACTCTTAAAACCAGCAGAGAGGACGCTCAAAGGAAGCAGCAGTGGAAACTACTACAGAGCTCTGCGGTGAAAGTTCAGGACGTCACCAAAAGATCTGAATCATGAACTCACAACCGGGATTATTTCAATTCATTTGGGTCTCTGCTGATGTAACAGGTCAACAACAGAAGCAGGAGATTATTTTTTTATTCTCTGTAGTTACTTTTTTCTATTAAACTGATTTACTTGTTATTTGTCAGAAAGCACCTTCAATATAGCTGCCAAGATCAGCAACCATGAAATGCGGTTATTACAAGGTGTGTTGTGGCTTTATACTCAGTCACACAGCACAAACAATCTTAGAGGTCAAAGGAGTGTTGGGGCTTTGAAAAGAGCCGGTCGCTGGTGGTAGAGCTGTGAAAATATACTAAATATAAATCACACATCGTGCTGGTTCTCCGGTTTCTCCAAACTGGGGCATGCTGACTCATCTACTGTAGGTTATACACCAACTGGATAAGTACCTCAGAAACCTACTTCAAAGTATCCATAATTGTGGGGACTCTGCTTTTGTATTTACAGCATTTTAAATGAATTCTGTGTTTTGGACTGTTGAAGAGGTCATCTCGGACTCTGGGAAATTGTAAAGGGAATTTCTGTATTTTGACATTCTACAGACCAATTAATGCAAAAAAAATCATCCGATTTAGTAGATACTCAAAACAGTTACAGCCCTGAAATGACAAGAATTACACCACACACGTCCACTAATATCTCACCTTTAATTTGAAGCAGATTTTTGGTACAAAAAAATGGAAAACATTTTCAAAAATCAGCATTTGCGCTAAATCACACATGTACCCACGTGATGAAGGTACAAGGGCCCTGACATTGAATGAACAGCGTTGTCACGTCAACTTGAAAACACTAGTGTGCGTTAATGGTTACTGCTACGATAACCACCATTAACCCAGCCTGTGGCATGATTAGGATGGAAACCTGTTAACATTCAACACATCACGCCACAAAGACCTTTCTAGAACCCAGATGACAGGACGAAGATCAATGACGGGACTAAATCATACCTGTTTAGTAAGGCGTCCAGTTTACATTTCTTTTGCCAAGTAAAGGTAACATTTTAACATCCACCATTTAATTCCTTTTTGACATCAACTCTTGAATCCCTACACTGAGAAAAAAAAAAAAAAAATCATGTTAAAACCTCAAACAGCCATCGTGACATTTCGAGAGACAATGCTAGTTTAAAAACTCTTTTCATGCGTCATTAAGCAAACCATTGATTTCCCCTCAGTGGTTTCCACCCGATCAGCGTCTCTTGTCCTTCCTGTCTCTATCTTTATGCTCCCTATCGCTCCGGGACGACCTGCCCCTCCCTTCGTCGCTCCTCTTCTTCTTCTCCTTGGACACCTTCGAGTCCCTCCCTCCTCCTCCGCCGCTCCCTCCTCTCTTGCGGTGACTTTTCTCTTCTCCTTTCTTCCGGTCCCTCGCCCTGTCAGACGGCCTCCTCTTGCGCTTGCTGTCGTCTCGGCTGCGACTTCGGCTGCTCTTGGACGATGAGGACGAGGAGGATGATGATGACGAAGAGGAGCGGCTGGATCCTGAGGATGAGGAGCTTCCGCTGGAGGAGGAGCCGGAAGAGGAAGAGGAGGAGCTTTTACTATGACTGCGGCCTTTCTTTGACTCCTTTGCCTTCTTCCTCCCTCTCCCACCGCCCTCCTTAGAGGGTGCGAGGGTGATGCTGGGGGCCTCCTGGGAATCGGGCAGTTTTTGGGGAGCTTCGTCCCCTGGTTTCTCCTCCACGGCCTGTTTCTCTGTTGCCGTGTTCTGGACCTTGGGGCCAGGGATGAGGAGGATATCCTGCCCAGGCTCCACGGAGGCTGTTTGGGGTTCTGGGGTTGGAGGAGATGCCTGGGTCTCAGAGGGCTTTACTGCCGGCTCCCCTACTGTGTGGCTGAGCTGGGGCTGGTGACTGGTGTCTGGTGCTTCTTGGCTGGCTACAGTTGGTTCAGAGGACTGGGTGTCCTGGGTCTTCTCAGTTTGGAGGTCTATGGGCCCCTGCTTACTGTCTGCTTCTTCCTCATTGCCCTTACTCCTGTCCACCTGCTCTGGCCCGCCCCCCACCTCCATCTCCTCTGACTCCGGACTTCTTTCCTTCTCTCCCTTCTCCCCTCTGTCCTTTACATCTTTAACCCCCTCCTCCCCTACCTTCTCCTGACTCTCCTCCTCAATCAACTCCATCATCTCCACCTCTTTCTTCTTCAACACTTCCTTCTTCCCTTCCTCCCACTTGTTCTTCTCTTTCACCTTTCTATCCCCCTCCCTCTCCCTCGCCTCATCTTCCTCCTCCTCTTCCTCCATCTCTGCATCCCCCTTGTTACCTGTCACCTTGACTACCTGACCCGCTGGCTTACCCTCCGCCGAGTGGTCCATCCCTGTTGCTGCCGTGTTGCCATCCTGGTCGCGGTTTGGTTGCCTCCGGGGGCGGGACTCCATCTTGCTGAGGTGTTCGGCAAAAGCCTCACGCCTCTCCTCAAACACCGCTGTCCAGAAAACAGAACCGAATAGCCACAGAGGTTACAAAGTGATAAACACACAAGTCTTCCTCAAGTACAGGAAACGCATGGAAAAGATGCTTCCGACGAGAAGAAGGCCACTGACCATTTAGTTTCTTGGTGGAGTCATCGAGGAGTTTCTGTGTGGCGGAGCATATTTTTCCAGGTATGTAGAAGAGGTGAGGTTTGGTCTTGGTACGAATGTATTTCACCAGACGATTGTTGTGGCTGGTCCACCCCTCTTGCTGACAGAGGAGGAAAGAGAAGGTTAAATACAATTCTGTGAAAGTACAAACTGTCTCCATCTCATTTGTTTTAGATGCAATCATAACACTATATCTCAATATTCATCTCCAAATGCAAACAATCAGTCTGTGCTGCTCGTTTCTACTGGTATTTTCTTACCAGCTGAGCTAATTCCACTTTCTGTTCCAGCAGTCTCAGCTCAGTCTGTTTGGTTCTCCTCTCTTCAAACAGTCCCCTCTTGTCACTCTCCACCTTCTTTTTCTCAGCCTCAGCCTGAACCTCAAGCTTCTGCTCGATCTCTGTACGACGCTTTTGCTGCAACAGCAGAAGATGGACGGAGACAGGATGAGTTCAAGAGGAAGATAAACACAGTTGTATTGAATGGTATTGTGCCAGCAGTGACAATACACTAAAACACTATGGCCCAGATGATGTCCATTACTTTTACAATCAGAGCACATATATCAACCAAATCTTTTTGCAGTCTGGTTTCAGTGACAGATTAGCTAAAGACCACCATCTAAGTCAGTGAAAGCATAATTAGATACAAATATTTCAGGGGCATATTGTTATCTTTGTGCTGTGGATAAAATAAGCCAATACCAAGAACTATTTTGAATTGACATCTATTAACTATTCAGGAAGTGGCTTTATTTGCTTTGCCCGCCCTCCTCAGAGGCCAACAGTTCACTCGGACATTGGACAGATGTTCCTCACCTTCTCTGTGGAGACGTGGGACTCTTGTTTGAATTTCTGCAGGGTCCCCATCAGCAGGCCGAACATACGCCGATTCCTGAACGAGAGACCACAAACCCACCATCACACACGACTGCCAACTTTCAGCTGTACACTGATCTTCAGTGCCATTTATATTTCCCCAATTTCTGTGTTTGTTGGTGAAATTTAACAAATGTGAGCATAAATATGACAGTGGTGCAGGCCTACCTCTGTTTGCCCCTCTCATCCATGGTTTGATCTTGAATGAGGTCTCTGCGTGTTCTCTCCTTAGAGGTAGCTACTACAGACGACTGCAACGCCGGCTGAGGGAAGAAGAAAACACGACAGAGACAAACCCATTCATTAGGTCCATTTGTCTTCAACAACCCTGAGTGTCTTAGCTTAGCAAATATGAACAGCGCCACCAACACAGAAGAGATCAACTCTTCATTCTTACCTTTTTGACGTCGTCATCATCCTCGGCGTCGCTGTCGTGACGTGAGTCTCTCCTGGCCCTCTGGTCCCCCGCCAGCCTGCAGACATGCACAGAGAGATAAGACGCCCAGAAATACTTCACACATTCTATGTAAACGCAGCACGCTGACAGCTAAGACTCACATTTGTCAGAACACACAGAATCAAAGTGATTCAATTACTAAAAAACACTGGCATGACCTGAACACAAGGGTACAAAAAAACCCCAGAAAGACTGCACCAAACACTCAGAACATATGGTGAATGTTGTATTTCCTGATTGCTGGTTGACTGGAGGCAGTCTTTGAGCTGTGTGCAAATGAAAGTGTTTGGATCCCCTAGAGCAATACAAGCAACCAACAAATGTAATTTCCCAATACCAGCAATAAAGTCTTATTTAAACTAGAAACATTTTATTGAAAATTGAGTGGAAGTCCATTTGTTTTACTAATCTACTGAACTTACTTGAGTTCCTTTCAATCTACATGGGATGTTTTACCATCATGAGATTGTGCGCAGAGTTGCCGTTAGTATGACAGTTTGATGCACATTGCATATTGAAAAACATTTAAATCTCACCTCAGCAGGACTCCTTCGATGTCCCTCTGCTTGGCAGGGGGGCCGCCGCTTCCCATGTCTGAGAGACTACGCCTGGGACAGGACAGAGACACAGCGGTTAGACTTTAAAACAATCAAGTCTGATCTGTATGCAGCCTATTGTAAAAATGTATCATTGCACATATAGTTATTGAGTATTGTACACGCAATGGCCAATCCATTAGGTACACCTGACTAACACTAATGCAGTCTGATTCAACAGGCCTTCATTGGTCATAGTCAGTTCTAGCTGTAACTGTTGATCAGTCTATTTCATGGTCACTTTGGAAACAAGTTTGTTGCAAAGTTGACTTGTATAGTTCCATATTAAGAGGTGTTCAGTTTACATCTTAATATTTAGTGTAAACACATTCATATGTATAAATTGTAATACATATAAATCCACCAAACAGCCACATTAGTCTTTTATCAATTAAATTGGTGGCTTATTAATTAGTCAAACTCACAAATGTGACTTGAAGAAGCATGGACCAAATTTCGTAACTAGTTTTCAAATTCAAATGTGGTCGCTTGCACGCCGTCCGAGTACACCCAGCGTCTGAATGAGCAGAAATGTTGAATGCAGCCGACTGGAGCACAGCGTTACCTGAGCAGGTTCACTCCTCTGCCTCTACCTCCACCTCCACCGGGGCCTGCCATGGGGCCGCCGCTGAGCCGACGGATCTGACCCGGTCTGTGAACACAACCAGAAACAACGTCCGTCAGTCGTTCGTCACATCAGCGCAGATGATCATGTTGGTATAGCATTCTGGCAGCAGAGACATTTGGTAAGAGTAACAAAACAGGTAACGTTTTATCTGGATTGACACGCCTGCAGGGCCTTGCACGGTACTGTGGTATTCCACTTCAATATCAAGACTAATGTATTGATATGTATGAGTTGTGTGTGGCTAATCTATCCGTTTGGACGCAGCTAATGCGACAGTGTGTCGGTTCCACAAGCACAAAACAATGTACGTAGGTGGTAATGTTCGCTAACTAGCTAACCGACTCATGTTAGCGAATGTTGCTAGTCATTTGAATGCTAGCAATTTGGTTAGCTCACCACGAGAAATACGCCAAAAGCAAAAACATAAAAAACACTAGGGCTCTTTCTTCTTTTACCTCGATTCATTGGGGTCACGTCCTGTTAATTTACGAATATTATCGTCCACATTCTTCAGGCTTTCCTTTGCTTTTTCGAGCTGGTCTTGCAAGCTCCGCACTACCACCGCCATCTTGCCAACCAGTTAGCGCGAATCACGTGTTGTTTCTTCTTCTTCTACCTTCGCTCGCTCTTCTTTTTTTCTTCGGTCGTGGTTGCTGAGATGCGAGGTTGTGGCGCAGTACCGCCATCTGCTGCTCAGTTGATGTTGTTTTTGTATCCGAAAAGCATAAACTCATAATTTATGCCTGTTTGAATTACCTATATACCAAATGCATGCCGTTTTGAAACCCAACATTGACAGAATAAGACATCTGACGAAATAAAAAACAATCAAAATAGTAGGAACACATGCCCTAGACCAAGTTCAACACGTCTGTTAAATTATTGTGTGACACTTCATATTGTTTTGTTTCATGTCTCCTGAGCCTCACATTACAGGTGTTCTTCCTTCTCATCTTTTGAACTGCATCACAAACAGTGAGCTGAGCGCACCGGCTCTAAACTGTGAGTCCAACAATGAGAATGAACCCCCCCCCCCCCCTTTTTGAGTCCTGCTCTCACAGCTCTTGCATATCAAAGTGTGCAGCAAGCATCGAACAGGATTTCATTTCTGCAGATGAATGCCTCACAAGATGGATAGATAGAGAATTGCTTTATTAAGCCAGCTACAGCAGCAATTATGGTACAGGTAAATAAAAATAAGTAAAAATATTAAATATCAAATGCACAATATATACAATAAGAATAACATAGTAAAATTATTAGATATAAAAATGCAGAATACATACAATGAAATAGAATAATATTGAATTAACTAACTAGTGCAAACATTTAACCAAACAACAGTGTAACAGTGTTATAGTTGTGTGATTGATCTGGCCAGAGGTGATTTATTATAAAGTCTTATTGCAGGAATGTTCTTCTGTATCTGTCCTCGGGTTATCCAATATGGATAATAGTTTCTTCAGTGTCCTCCTCTCCACCACCTCTTCCAGAGTGTCCAGTTGGCAGCCAACGATGGAGCCGGCCTTCTTAACCAGTTTGTTAAGTCTGTTGGTGTCTCCGGCTCCAATGCTGCTCCCCCAGCAGACGGAGAAGTACAGTAAATAAAATTAAAAAAAAAAATAAAATAAAATAATTTAGTAAAATCAACAAATAAAAAAACAACTGAAAAGCAACGACATCACATAAAAGCCACTCAGTAAAAACGTGTTTTAAGAAGTGATTTAAATGAGGAGGGGCCCTAATGGAAAAAGCAGGGCCACCTTTAGTTTTGAGCCTCGACTTTGGAACAGCCAGAAGGGCCCTGCCTGAGGATCCAAGGCTGCGAGCTGGCCCATAGGGGGGGGTCAACATTTCCTCTATATATGTTGGGGCCAGACCCAAACATGCTTTAAAAGTGATCAGTAAAATGTTAAAATCAATTCTAAAATGGACAGGGAGCCAGTGAAGAGAAGCCAGGATTGGGGTGATGTGATGTCATCTGTTAAAACCAGTGAGAAGCTGGTTTTGTGCCTCTTTAAGTAATCTAGAAAGATTAATAGGAGTTTCAACAATTTAAAATAACAAATAATCATTTAATACTTTTACTCTTATTCCCGTGTCTGACACACCTCAGTGAAAGTTGAGCAAGTCTTCGGTATTGAAACGGCAGCTTCACGGTAACCGTGGGACACACAGAAATGTGTTATTGTTTCAGCTTAATTGCATAACACCAACGAGGTAATCTCATTACCCAGAAGCCCTTTGTCTGAGCTCTGAACACAGCAGGAAACAAACTCAAATGAGCAGTGAAGCCTTTTTCTGGGTGGCGTTGCCGCCGAGGCCATGAGCAGATATATTTGTCATAAATGCTGCTTTTAAAATAAATCATGAGTAAAAGCACAACAAAGCCTTTCTGCATATTAAACCCAGTGAATAGAGTTGAACACTTTGTTAGGCACTGCTTTTGGCTGCATCATTATTATCTACGCCTCCATGTTTTTTCCCCTGAATGAAACATTTACTATTTGTAACTGTTGCTCAAATTTAAATCCTCCAGTTCAGCACCAACATGACTCCTTGTTAAATATTGAAGTACTGCAGGCTGCTGTTTTCTTAATATCTTATATTCTGTATCTTGTATTTTACACCTCTACAGATTAAAGCGAGTGAGCAGAGGGGAATCCTTCCTCCTGGGTTGTTGCCTCATCTCTCTTCCTGCTTGCTGTGTAGGGATGCGTTACCAGAGCTCATGTTTCTGGTGTTCCCTTATCAACGGCCCCCCGTTTCCTGTAACCAAGGTGACGTACGTACGTACGTACGTACGTACGTACGTACGCGTGCGTGTGTGTGTGCGCTGAATAAGACTCTGGGAGCAAACAACTTTTTAATGCTTTTATTCACTGACTAAAAGAAGAGAAGCATTCATTCAACATTAATTCAAATCAACATTCGTCATATTGCCCCCCCTCCCCTCCCCTCCCCTCCCCTCAGGTGGAAGCCATCTGTCAGTTAAGAGGTTTTACAACAGAGCCACGGATCAACACCAAGATAAAACCGGTCCTCTCGGCCAGAGAAGACTCGTTCCTGCAGACTAAAAAAAAACAACCAAACAGCTGAAAAGGTTTCAAATCAGAGTTTTGTATTATTTTGGATTTACATTTACATTAAGAGCAGTTTGACAGACGTAGATTAAGCCGAGTTCTCAATCGAAGCGTTCCCACGTACAGACAGACGGAGGGAAGATCTTGGAGCTTTTTCTTTGCTGGTCACAACAAGTCTTAATCCACGCCGCTGCACGCACTCGGACATTTAGCGAGACGGCGTACGGATCAGATTAGAATGTTAAACTGCATTTAAAAGATGCTCCATGTGGTTTGAAACTGGGTCCAGCTGTGTTTTGGGGGGCTTCCGTCTGCTTCCCTGCCTACAGAGAGACCCCACGGCTATGTGCTCACTTTAACAAACACACAGGAACACAACGCTCATAATAGTCAACATTAAGGATGGTAAAAACACACACACACACACACGACGACGGATCTTTTCGGATTTACAAAGTCTGTGTGATTTTATTATATACTTCATGTTCATAAATTGAACCCGTACATGTGTTGCATAAGAGTATACCACGGTAATGCATTGTTGATACCCAATACAAATATGCACTGTGTGAGTTTATATATATCTATATATAGATCTATTTATAGTTCTTCCTCTATGGTTTTCTAAAGGCGCTGTCAGCACTGCTCGTGCCCCTTTGTGGCCACTAGTAAGACTGCTGTTATTGCAAACTGTCCTGATTTTAAACAAATGCACAACATTCGTACCACGATAAAACTGGGGCCGTCTAGCCGGTCTCACAGAGACCAAAAGTGAGCCCGCCGTCACCGCCGCCGGCTGGCCGACCAGAATCACAAAGATCTCAAAAACGATAAAACGAGAAGATTTCAGAAATCATCATAAGGCCAAGTATTGTCGTTGCAAGTTCTTAATAGTTTGCGTCTTCATTTCTACTGTGTGACAGAGAGGGAAAAGAAAGGAAAAAAACTGAAAAAATAAACTAAAATAGAGAAGAGTGTGGATTATATGCATTCCTCTTGCATAGTTGTTGGGCTGGACTGGGCAGCAGGCCTGCCCGGATAATTAGGGTTGGCTCTCCAGACTTGACAAGAAAGACTTTGTTGAGCAGCCAGAAGCGTCAGAGCCACAGTAGCCGAGATCTAAATGAAGAGAGTTGGCTGACACTGAAGCACGGGTGTCTATCACTTCCTTGATGCAGCCGCTACGCGCCACAGCTACTGACAAGAGTTTGGCCAGGTCATGCTATCAGTGCTATGTTGTTGTTTCTTCTCTAGATACACGGTGTGGCAAATTGTCTGACAAATACTCTTATTTCACTGCCGAGATCATGGTCATAAACTGACTTCAGTTGTTATTGTCAAGACCGTTGCTGAAATAGAAAACTGGAAAGTCCAAACTTCCTCCGAGGCTCTGGGCACGGCTAAAGATCTTTTCTCTGTGTGAGCCTCCCCATTGGCAGAGATCCCATCCAGCCGTACACACCTCTATCTAAGTCTGTTACACAGGGCTGATTCTAATACAAGTGCAATGCACATCCAGTGTTTTTCTTTTCTCAGAGTAACAGAAACATGCCAGCCCTCTTTGAGGCTATTCAAAGTCTGGTAGTAGTCTATGGTCTTAGCATATAGGTTTAAAAACACAAAAGAAAAGGGGAAGCGGCTGATAATCTGTGATGAGGAAACCCTGTCTCTTCATGGCAATCCTTTCAGAAACAAGTCCCTGAACCATCTTACTTCCTCCTCTCTCTCTACGGCTATTTTAAGTGTACTTTCTAAATCATTGTGAATATTTCCCGAGAGTCGACGTTACACTCTCAAGCTGGCAATGATCAAAAGGGAAATGAAAGTGGCCGTGTCTGATGTGTGTTTGCCTGTTTAGACTGATGCAGATCTGACGCAGTCGGCTGCTTTGGTACTAAAATAACACACATCTGATCCGTCCACGTCAATCACATATATATTGACTGTTAAGTGCGCTCACAGAGGTGTCAAACCCAACTCTTTGTACATGGGCCTGGCAGGACAGATGGACCCAGACCGGCAGAACTGTATCTACAGTTTTAACAAGCTGTCCAGGCCAACTGTCTCAGATGGACTACATTAGAGGCCAGCTCTGCAGATTCAATTACCCAGCAGGCCACAGGGGCCCCGATATCATCCAGGATTTCTCTACGAATGCATATAATAAGCACAGAAAAAAAAATAAGAAGTCAAAAGGGCAGATTGAACTGGCTGCGACCACATCAATGTACAGTAACTGCTGGTAATGGTCTCCTGAATAACTGACGACTCCTCTAGAGCCTTCACACCTGTCATTTTAATGGCATTTAAAATAAGGCTCCGCTAGCTGCGTGTCAGTCAGTCACACACAAACCTCTGTCTGCATATGGTGTATGAACAAGTCCATGTGTGTCCACAGTGAATGCGTGCTGGGACTTCTGTGTGCGCTCATGTGTCTGTTAAATACGCAGACTAACTTCCTCTTACTGTGTTGTGATGTTCTTTGACCTGGCAGATTGATCCGATGGGTGGAACCCACTCATTTGGTGGAAAGAGAAGCTAGTTCTTGTGCTGTATTTAGCACACGGTCAGTGTGAGCTGCTTTCACACTCTTGATCTTTTGTGTACCGGACACAAAAACAAAAAAAAAGGCCTCGAAAAATGACCTCGGGATGCTGAAGGGAAAGTGTTTAAATAACCGAGTCTAAAACATCAACGCACCTCCACTCTGCTCAGACCAGCTGGTGATCCGGTGTGTCTAGTCCATAATAGCTGCGTTCCAGATCTCTTCCAAAAAAAACAGAAAAAAACCCACCACTCGTTCAAAAGTTACAAAAAATATAGCATATATTTATATCGTCTAAATTTCATGCAGACACTTAACTAGCCATGTAGTAAACGGTGTGCCAAAGTCAGACGGCCTGAGCGATCCCCCCCCCCCCCACAGTGTGGAATGTCCCGTTCCTAGCAGCAAATCACGTCACAGGGACTTAAAAGCACTTCCCGTCAGACTTGACCGTGGCCCACAGGCTCGCCATGCAACGCGTCAGACCGTGTCCCGGCTGAGAGGAGCTTCAGGAAGCGTTTAGTCCCTGGCGTGTTTGGAGATTGAACCAAACTCCTCCTCCTCGCCTTTTCTTAGCTTTTACATTCACTCACAGTGAAACAGGTGATGGAGGGAGGAACGTGTGGAAGAACACTGCTCTGGACTAGAGAAATGCCTGGCTTTTGCTCTGTGAGGTGCACTTCAGGAAATGAGCCACGTTGTAACAATGCTGCCTACCCTCATTAAGTAACACATGCTGGTTAGAAATATCAAACAGCGCTTTTCACCACCCACATTCTATACAGCTGGTGTGAACACAGGGTGCAGCCGCTGAGACAGCGCTGGCCCGACTTTTTGCGCTTTTTGGTCTCCTTTCGCACCAACCGCAGAGCGAGACTGTTGCCGCGTTATCTGGTCCGTAGCACGTGGAACAGAGTGGTCGGGAGCTCAGGGGGAGAAACCACAAAGTTGAGCGGAACCACTAAGAGGGAGGAAAGAGAAAGAGAGGACAGCACTAGAAGGAGGTGGAGAGTAGGAAAGAATACTGGAGCAGCCTCCTGCCAGCGTGCGGGCACTTCAGATAGACTTGTGTCTGGGTTTAGGACCTGGTCTACTGTGGTCTTTGGCAGCTTAAAAACGCATCAAGGGAGGAGAACAGATCCAGTGACTCCTACTGTTCATAGAGTGAGGCCTGAGCTTTGGGAACGTCCCCTCCTTTTGAAAACAGATTGTACCCTGAGAACTAACGAAAGATTTGTTTCCTGCTGCAGTAGAAGTGTTAAGACCCCCCCCCCCCCTATATATACACACACACACACACACACCCCGCTACGCTGCTGACAACTTAACGCGCACACAGTCACACCATGTTACTCACACATTTCTACTGGGTACACTTTAGAGAGCTTACATGAAAACGTGCGCAGAAAACACAAGCACGCTTTACAGGAGAGATTAAAACGTGCGTGTGCTGAAAACCAGAGACACAGTCGCCTCAAATGCTGCTTCCCTAAAGAGTGAACCAAACAATCACAGCAACAAACGACTGAAGCAACGTGAAGCTATCACCCCGGTGGAGAGCAGAGGCTTGAGAAGCAGTCGAGACTCCAGAAGCTTTCAGGCACGAGACGGCTCAATGTTGAGCTCGAGACATTATTGAGAAGCCGTTTCTCCACTGATGTAGTAAGAGTAGTCAAAATGCTGTGCCATACTGTCTCCCGCATATTGTCGACGACGTCTTTCTCTCTGCAGACTGTGAAATAGTTCGCAAATTGTCAAAAAAACATTAACTCTTGATTAAGAATTTGTCGAGGAGGACATTTCCTCACAAGTGTATGGGAGTGAAATTCATGATAACAACACATCTCTTTATACCTCTTCCAATTGGGAGTATTAGAGGTTTTTAAGTTCTGCTCAAGCTGCCCATAGACTGAGGAAGAAACGCAGCCCCTCCTTTTATTGTGGGTAGGAAAAGAGCCACGAGGTGACTTCTAGTGGGGAGCCAATAACGGTTAAGAAGACGAGAAGCGGAGGAGGAAGCACACACGGTGGCTAGGGTGGGATTTGTAAAATCAGCTTTTTTTAAAATAACTTGTTTGTAAAAAAACATAATCTATTTGCTCAGCTCAGATGACCATCTAGTTTTAATGACTGGAGATTGTTTCCCTCTTTATCAGGTGATGCCTATACCAACACAAACAGCTTAGTCAAGCTCGAAAAAGAAAAGAATGAGATGAGGCAAAATCAGGAGGCAAGGAAGAAGAAAAGATAAAAACACATTTTGGTCTGAATGCGTCCTGTTGGCATTGCTATCCTCTGAGTGTTGGGAGTGAGCAGCTCTGTGTGCAGCCACAGAAGGCCTTTAAAAGAACCTCCTGGTACCAGAGCGCATTAATCCTGAGACATGGACCAACGACTAGATAGACTCGTCATAGCTAGACCATCGAGGTCCCTTCACAGATGAGCAAACATTTGGTAACCACAGGCCCACCGCTGGGACCCATTCATTCAGAACCAAGCTAAGCACTGGCCCACTGTGTAACTCAGGATCCATATCAGTCTACTTGTAATAAAAAAATAAATGAAAAAAAATAAATCTCTGGTCAACCTTGTAAACGACAGACCTGGATATGGGCCTCCACACTCTGCGATGCCATTGCCCCCGACCCTCTAAAGCGCCACGTCGTGCAAAACAAGTGAGCGGATTTGGGAGAGTCGACAGCGTTTACTTAGGGAGGTTAGGTGCTCGCATTTTCCTGGTGAAATCCCACCTCGGCTCTAGAAATGCTGTCAGGACCCCGGAGCAGCAGATGTCACCACACCGGCCCAGCTATCGACTGGTCTCCCCCGCGGTGGCCCCTGGCTTGAGTCCTGATCATGGCGTGCTTGTGCTTCCGCAGAGCCCGAATAACATTTCTTTCATATATTGGGGCGAATGGAATTGGGACAGTAAAAGCGACTGCGATTCAACCGAAGTCGCGCCTGCACCCTGGTTAATGGAAGCCTGAGGACCAAGCCAGCCGCACCGCCAGACGGGAGGAAGTCGTTTCACACCAGAAGATTGACTACATTCACTTCAGAAGTTAACAGGGCCCGGCAGGTCCTCCGTGGAAAGCATGGACTCCCTTCACTCCGCAGCAGCTCTCTGCCCCCCCCTTATCGACTGAGATATAAAACATGTGCAATGAGCAGACAGCTTTTGCCATTCTTTAGTCTTTATCAACCTTAATCTTTGAAAACAAATGTATGATTAAGTTTACTGATCCCCCAACCAACCGAGGGTCTATCAGATGGCATAATGAACAACATCATCAATAATAATAACAACAACTGTATCCAGAAATCATGGGGCTGTTTCCAAGGCAACTGTGACTCGAGGAAATT